TAATTTAAATTTAGTAACAAAATAATTTATTTATCGTTTAATAATATAATTTTTGTAAAGATAATAATTAAGTATTTTGTTATAATGATTATCTTAATTATATTTTTTATTTTTTATATTTAAAATGAGATGTCTATCTTGTATTTGATTATGTTTATCTATAGTTAGTTACACAAATTCAAAATTGAAGCTTTAATAAGATGTACTTACGCACAATTTATTTGTGATCTTGAATTTTATAAACAGTACTTTATGCATAAAAAATAGTTTTCAAATCAACTATTTTAAACTTTTCATTTTTTATGTCATTTCTTTAATTTATTATAAATTAATTTAATTTTAATAATAAAATAATTTATTTTTGTTTTAATACTATAACATTTTGTAAAGATAATAATTAAGTATTTTGTTAGAACTCAATGATTATCCTAATTATAAATTAGATTTTTTATATTTAAAATGAGATGTTTATCTTGTATTTTATTATATTTATCTGCAGTTAGTTACACGAATTCAGATATGCAGCTTTAATAAGTTSTACTTACGCACAATCTACTTGTAATCTTGAGTTTAAGTAATATGCATTAATAAACAGTAATTTACACATAAAAAGTAGTTTTTAAATTTTTTTGTCAAATGCTTTATAATATAGTATAGATTATAGATATCTTTGAAAAATCAAGAGGTTTGAATAAAAAAACTCAAATGATCAATATTTTTAATATGAATATATATATTAGATGCACATAACTAGAAGTTGATTCATGCACATAACTAGAAGTTGATTCATCCATGTCCCATCATGTATTTGCCCTTCCTATTTTTCTTATCCTTAATTATGCTCTCATGTTGTCCACATTTGTTAAAATTAAGTTAGACATTCAACCACTAAGTTAGTTATCTGACGGTTAAAAGTTAGTTACTTTGGTGAACAAGTGTGTCTATTAGTGAAAGGTTGTGTCTTTTGGCCTTAACGGTGTGACCCTTGGCTGTGTATATATATGTTGGATAATACTCACTGTACGATGGAGTTGTTGTGTTAATAAGAAATTGACTGTCATAGCAAACACCCCTTTTATGCATGTGTAGAAACTGGAGGAAAGTTTCTGCAAATTACTTTTGATCATTTCAAACTTCCTATGTATATTAGATGTTCTTCTGTTTGACTCCAACAAAGTGGTATAAGAGCATATGGTTCTTGGTTCTGTGTGTTCGAGATTTGAAGGACTGTGCAGAAAAATTAAATTATTGTGCAGAAGAACGCAGGAAGAAGAACATAAGGAAGAAACAGGACTGTGTAGAAAATTCGAAGGAGAAATTCAAACAAGATCATACGAAGTCTAGATGGCTACAATAAAAAATTTTGGTATTGAAATTTCTGTCAAAAATAAAGACAA